CCTGTGTGCCCTCCTTAACCCCTCCTGATGCTCAGGGAGAAGAGAGAAGTGTTAGGAGAAGGAGTAATTTGCAGCAGTGGAAAATAATGTGGAATGCTTATAGCAAACCATGCAGGGGCTGTGGTTTGCAAGAAAGGCACACATAGTAACTCCCAAGATTAACTTGAGCCCTCTGATCTCTGAACATGCAAATACGAGTTTACAGTTTCTAATCCAAAGACCATTTTGTACAATTAAATCTGTTCCCAAGGACAATGAATTGTGAAATCCTATAAAAACTGTCTTGATCCATTATAATATACTCACACACTTGGCCTACTAAAACAGACTCAGTAACGTGAAGGGCAAAATTTGGGGGGAGGGAGGGTCTTACAACCCGAATTTCCTTATAAACAAACCAAAAAACTGACTTGCTGTAGAAACAAAGCTAGCCTTTACCGATACGCCTTTTCACATATGCTATCTCCTTTTACCCTCTTAACTTAGAGTTATCTTCATTTAATTTTTACACATGAAGAAAATTGGAAAATAAGGTTAACTGACTTGCTCAAGGTCATATTTAACTAGGAAGTGACAAAAACAGGATTCAACTAAAGAGCTGCTCTTGCCACTTGAACTTTGAATTGTATACTGATTAGATTCCGCATCAGCACCAAAACATTAAATGGCATGAAACAGTAAAGCGCTCAACAACTCTACTTTTATTTGGAAAGATAAGCTCTTTAGCTTTCAATAAGGAATATTTATATAGCCAATTAAAGTTAGAAAATACATAGATCTGTTTGTAAAGTGTCTTTGTTCTTTATATAGTGCTTCAATATCAATCCTTCTAGAAAAATCTAACAATTAAGTCTCAAACTGGTGAGGCAGCTGGAATTTCCCATCCCTTTCAGCCACTGCGTTATTCCATTAAGCCCCACGACAACAGAAAGAACCATTAACTCCAGGGAACATATCTTATTCCAGTTCCCTCTAGGGCAGTTCAGTAGTTAGTTTCACCCCAATGAATACTGACTGCAGGAAAGAAACAAACAAAAAAGATTTTTCAACCACATTTACTAGCTCACATTAATATTTAAAAACAAATTCACTTCTCTTTCCTTTCTGTATCCTTGGCACAATTTATTATACATCTTAATAAACAAACTAGCTGAATATACACTGGGGGAAAATGAATTTTAAAACATGAAACAGGGGTCAATAAATAGCCAAATATGTCAACCACTGAAAGGACAATCTGTTTTTTCCTTTAAGATTAAGCCACTGATTTTCAACTTTTATTGAATAAATTTCATCTATAAAGCAAGATAATTTATAACTTCATCTCGACTCAAGTTTTTTTTTTGACGGCAGTTGAATTTTTACATAAAAAAACTGCAAAATTTCAACTTAGGAACAAATAAAACATTCAGACACAAGTTTACACTTTAAGAAGTTTAGCAAGTATGTCAACAAATAAAGAATGACTGCGTATCAATTTATGTTAGTCCTGTGGTCCACAATACAGTTTCCACTTGAGACGTTTTTAATCACTCTTCCGTCTGGTATGGGCAGCTTCTAATGGGAACTGGTATACAGTCTGTTCTTGATGAAGACAACACTAGGCAGCTGTTGCCTGACGCCCGGATGATGCTGAATGTGACAAAACCAGCGAGACACGTTAAGGTACTTCTCCTTTTCTTGAACTGTCAGGTCAACCTAAGAGGAGATGAAAAACACACACACACAACACAGGCATTACATAAGCATGGCCATTATTATCACTTGAATACCAACCCCAAAAACCCAAACCCAGTGCTGTTGAGTCGATTCCGACTCAGCAACCCTAGGAGATAGAAAATGGGGGGGGAGGGGTATCAAAAGCCAACACAGTCAGTCAGATAGGAATAAAAGTTTCAGCCACTTGGAAGAGCTATCTGTTTGTTTAATGCTTTTTTTGTTCAGTTTAAAACCCAATCGGCGTTCTAGGGAAATCTCAAGTTTTCAACAAATGCAAAACATACATTATACCCAGGATCTGGAGGCCTAAAGAGATTTTTTTTTTTTTTAAATTGCAAAAACAGGTAGAAGAAAGGACGATAACAGCTTCCAAAAGACTAAGACATGGTTCTTTCCCCAATCTTTTCTGGCAAACCTAAAAAAAAGAAAGGTTTACTGGTATTTAATATAGTATACTTAAAAGAAAAAAACAAACTCATTGCCTCGAGTCAATTCCAACTCATAGCGACCGTGTATGATAGACCAGGACTGCCCCCCCGGGTTTCCAAGGCTATACATCTTAATGGAAGCAGACTGCCACATCTTCCTGCGGAGCAGCTGGTGGGTTCGAACAGGCAATCATCTGGTTAGCAGCTGAGCGCTTAGCCACTGTGTCCTGAGGGCTCCTTGCTAACATACTTAACAAGGGAATACTATGTAAAACTCAAATATACATGTATATAGAGACTTTTAAATGACTGCTGGTGCGTGTGTATACACACTACTGCTGCCTTTCTACTCAGCTCTGGAGAAATATCTCAGTCAAAAAGACAACGACCTATTTAATTTCAAGTGATTCTTGCTTAATACAAGAAGGAAGGGCTATTTCCAGTGGCAGAGGACTCAGATGAATAAGGCTGCGTAAAACCAAGAGCAACAGGCTTTCTAATTTTTAGTGGATGAAGCAGTTCACCTAATTTACTACCAAATTACAAGCATGCTCAGAGATTTGGTTAGAGAAAGATGCAATAAAAGCTGTGGATGACTGTCATTTCACTGGGCTCATATCCCAAGGTAGGTGACCCAGAGATTTGTCTTTAAGCCAGATCCTTGCTTGGACTCATTAAGAGTTACTAGGTAAAGAGAAAGTCAGCAGAGCGGTAACTTGCAGCCATGACCCCGTAATGGGTAGTATGAGTTCCTTCTCCTGTTGATAATCTAACAGCTAGTTAACAGATATTACAAGGAATGTTTCAACAAAGAAAAAAACTCAGCCATCCCACATGCAGTTCAAACCCATGAGTGGTCGTCTTGCTGGGGGGCTCTCTTAGCAATGGGTGCCTGTGACTGGTCAGAACGTAGCACATACTCATGCCTACAGGCAAATCCTGTGCCCAATGCATTAACTACTACAGAGTACAAGATAATACTAACAACAAAATTAAAAGGTAAGCATGTGGTATTTTTTTCAAATAAACATTTAACTGAATCCATATTTACATTTTATATTTACTACAGGCACTTTAAAAGGAAAAATTAATTAATATACATTATCCTGCCTTCCTTTTTGCCCTGATCACAGTAGGATGCTGTTTTACCAATATCTGATCTTTTAACATTATTTTGGTGGTCTTGAATGTCTTTCTCTGCTGGCCCAGATTAAATTACAAGCAGTGAGGGTCTCACTGCTCTGGTTACATAAAAATTCAAGTTTCAGGTTTTAGTGATAGACCCTGAAGTCCTACACACAAGCTGCTGTAGCAAATTATAAAGATGCATTCACCTTGTGTCGGGGGGTAGGTGAGGTCTAGGCATGACAAATATGTTCCTGTAACTGATAACCTACCATATAGTCAGTTCATGGCACGGAGATTAAAAAAAACTACCACATTAGTCAAGAAAATTATCCAAGGATGTACTTTTTTTATGTAAAAAGTTAATTTTTATTAAAAGAGAATTCATGGTTCCACATGTAAAAAAATATATTCTTCCTGTTAGGTGCAAAATAAAAAGAATACCTGTCAGGTGTGGTATACATAGAAGACACTTAAAAAAAAAATCTTTGTGGAAGTACGGAGTGTGAGTTCACATTTCAAAATGTAAACTGCATTTTGTATCTAAGAACTAACTTTTCGTTTGTTTTCTAAATCTTTACCATATGTGAACTTCACCACTAACTCTAAAGAAAATGCAGGAGTTTAAAAAGCTCAACCACTAGTAAACACAGCTGCAAATCTAATAGACGGGGGTGAGTTTTCTTAACGAAAAAGAAAAAATTCAAAATCAACTTTGGCAAACCTCTCTATGGACAGTTAAAGCAAACAGAAGTGACAGCAAGTTTCACTCAAATGTGGTTTCATGTCAGCTACTGAGATATATGATGATTCAAATCCAGTCACTTTTGAAAAAATACTTTAGTCTTTTCAAAGATCTTTCATTAAAAAAAAGTCTACTCATTAGTCATTTTGTGAGATGTTATTTTTCAGAATGAACTATTAAAATACACTGAGAACAAAGCATTTCCAAATAATAAAGTACTAATAATGCTTGTTTGATATACTGCTTGAGCTGTCCACCTATATTTTGAACCAGGGCTAAAAAGGCCAAAATTTGTTTAATATTTGTATTTTAGAACAGCATTTACTATTACAGAGATCTTACATATGGCTATTATTTAAAATAACAGCAAAATACAACATATAGCAAAATCATTATTCTCCGAATTAAAATTTTCATATTTAGTGTCTCCAGTGTAAAGATTATAAACAGACCCACAGTACAAAATAATTTTTATTCCAAGAGCTTCTAAAGCTTCTTCTGACATTTCCCAGTTTATTTCAACAATTTTTAACTAGGTGATTTATTTTTTTAAAAATGTTTTAGATAATCAATGTTAGAGAATGTACATTTGTTCATTTTCCCTCAGAAAATTTTGCCAGAAATACCAGGGCTTTGCCCCAAAGGTCAGGTTACTACTTCAACCATCCTTTTACAGTTTAAACTTTGGAGCTTGTCCTTTGAGTCTGGGAAAATTATGACTGACCTCAATTTGTTACCTCTGCTCTTTTTTTTTGTAGACATCCTATATGTGAAGCTGACTATAAATAAACAAACAAAAACGACATTTTCTCTCCACCAAATTTAGGTTTTAGAACTTTTTTTGATGAGATTTCCCAGGCAATTTCACTTATAACAATAGTTTTTCATCATCTCTTTCTAGTCGGCTCAAGTTATTTTTTTCCTCTCTTACAACAAGAAACACAATGCAATTGTTCTAGTTATCACTTCCTACTTCTTACTGGTCTACATACCAGTACGTCTACATTGGTACTTGGCTCTACTGAATCCTTCCTTTTTATGTATAGGTACCCTAGAATTAGTTTCAACTTGAAAGCCAAAGAGATAATATTCTTAGTCCTTGATTTTCCATGAAGGTGTGTGAGAGCAACTTGGGGGCCCTATTCCAGAGCGGGGAAAGATGCCGTGTGCTCCCTTTCCAACTGGCACCATGCTGCCGTTTGGACATTCTTCAGGGCCCATGTTCCTGGATCGTTTTGCAGCACTTCTTTTACTTTTCCTTGCCTTCTAAAAGAACTACACAGCTCCATTTGTGCTTCAAACTTCAAAACAAATGTATCCTAGTTGATAACAATCTTAGTCAAGTAGAATGTAACATTACAAAGGATTTTAATAATCTTCAGTAACAGTCTGTTCACAGGGATCACTATCTATTAGTGAAATCACTTTGAGAAAGCAATGAGTCATTGGTTTTATAATAAATAACCACACTAACTGGCAGTTTAACAAAGAAAGCAAGACATAATATTCCTCAAAGGAATTAAGATAGACCAGATTTCATAATCAGAGTAACTCAGCCACAACTAAAATCGGGTTCACACTAAAACAAAATACAGTGGGACTATCTGATGACTCAAGGCTCCTGGACTGCTGTTGAGTACTGTGTTGACTGCATATTAAGTATTTAATAACATAAACGAATAAATAAAGAAAAGAATGTGTGAGTGCATAAATAAATACACCAGCAAAGCAAATAAAGCACAGAGAAACTAATGAATATGAGCAGACAGCCAATCTGGACTTCTACTCTGCCTAAATTTAATACTTAGGACTCAACTTTTTTTCTTGTCTGTGTATATTTATACCTAACTGAACAGGGATGTGATTCAACACAACAGCGCAGTTCTGTTACTGTGTAGGCTTCAGTTTGTGAGGCCTGTTCCCTGAGAGGGTGTTTATTTCTCCTGTGCCTATGTACCTAAAGAGGGTGGGGAGATGCTTTGATTATGGACTCATGGCATCAACCCAGAGGGACGGTCAACAGAGTGATTTACACATTATTCCACTCCATTTAGTTTTGAAAAAGATAAGCATAATATCCTTAATCATAATATCCTAGTCACTACATATAAAGAGGATATACATTCCAAAATAGGCAACATAAATAGGCACAGATTACTCAGTATTGTTAATATAACCTTAACTGTAACACACCCAACTGAATGCAACACTTGTAACCTGCCTGAAAACCAAATGACCTCTACGGTCCCTAGACTTGTATGATTAAGTAACTGTGCAGCTCGTGCTGTGAATATTTGGCATTATGGAATTATGATCTGTTCATTCTGCTGGCAAAGAAATTCCACACAGCTCCCTTTTTATTAGAGCGTTTCCATTCCCTACTGCATAGCCTGAATGAGCCAGAAGAAAAAAAAAGTATAAAGATACACTTGGTTTGCAAAGCTTACATTTCATCATCTTCATTTTTGTTTTGTTAAATGGGAGAAATTTTCTCCTTTTTAATGATAGCTCAATGCTATACAAAGCCAGATCTTGTGATAGTCCTAACTTTCATTCACTAGCCCACTGGCGTAGGATTACAGATGACACTTCTTATAATAGCTTAAAAAAAGTAAGTAACGCCAAAATGTATGTCACGTATAAATAGGATTTAAAAAATGTCAACAAATCTGTTGCTGTTGTAGATGGAGACAATTCTGGTATCCCTCTGCGAGGTACCATGCCTGTAGCAACCTAGTCTCACTCACTTCAAGTCATGGACTTCCTCAGGTTGGAAGACTGTAGGTCAGCCACCAGGAGAAAGTCGCTGAAATACAAGAACAACAAACCCCCTTTACCTTGGAGGCTTTTTTCGTTTTGAAATGAGGTAAGGTGTGCCACGTCATCTTTCTAAATTCAAAACACTACTAAAATATACTGAACCTAGAATGGAATAAAAAGAGCCTGGTGTCATCAAAGTATTTCAGCTTCACTTAAACTTTCTTTAAATTTAAATCAAATGACTTTAGAGTTAATTATATTGAAGTATATAACTAAAGATGATGTTTTCAGTATAAAGATATACAACCAAAAATAAATTATTTATAAATAGATACAGACTGTTCAGTGTTGCCAATCTCGATAAGTATTTAGATATACAAGGCACTGGGCTAAAAGCCGGGTCGGGGATAAAGGTAAACACATGATTTGCCTCAGTCTCCTGGTTTTGCTTAAATGGAGCCATATTCTTATTAATATGGGGACCATTTGTCCCACTTCACTCCTGTTGTCCCCACATAATTATCAATGGGCCTCATCTCACTGTCAAAAGTGTTGTTTTGAATAAGCCATTATATGCTCATCCTATTTACAATATTTATAGTCAAACTTAGCAGATGCTTTTTAAATCAATAAAATTTCCCTTGAAGACCAAGGCCATCCAAACTCTACGGTTTTCTGGCAGTTCCGTGATTCTGTATCTTACCTTTCTCGACCTCTCTCTTGAATTGATGCCATGACATTCTGACCATGGGTCAGCCCTGGACTACCTTTTCTCATATTCACTAATTGTTTTCACATAAAATGGTCTTATTTCTTCAATAAGATCAATAGTTCCTTGAAAGTAGAGTTTGAATCGTACATTTCTTTTGTACCCCTCAAGTACAATATAGTGGACACACATCATAGGCTCCCAATAAATATTTTTACACTTATAATAGAAAGGGTATTACCAAGAATCAAGGCTCACTCTAGACCATTACAATAATAGTGTGTGGAACTTAACATGATCACTTAAGTGTCTTAGAGGAATAATTCTTAATAAAGTCAAGTAAATCCAAATTGAGGGATTATAGCTTGGGGTGGACGCTAAGAATAACCGTATCATACATTAGTATGGTATTTTAGAGTTTACAAAGGGCTTCCTCATACATTGTGATACCTGAGTCAGAAGGCCTAGCTTGTCTTGGACCTTCCAAAAACTGAGCTCTGTGTCTGCATAAATCACTTGAGATTCCTAAGCATTAGTTTTCCTCTTTGTAAAAGGAGGATGACAACATTTGCCCTATTATGAGGTACAAAGAGAAAATATACACAAAACTCTGAAAACTATAAAGAAACATGTTAAGAAAACACTGATTCAATGTTTATGGAGGGCAGACTGTATACGTGTGGCAAAAATTATATCAGACAGTGGTGTTACAAATATGAATTGCCACAATCTCTGACTTAAGCAGTTTACAATTCAGAGGAGAGAAAAAAGTAAAGCTTTAACTGAAGTGATCGCTGAGGTAGAAACAAACAGAGGAAGGACTACCTCATTATGCTTCAGGAAGTCAGAGAGGGCATCACAAAGGAATTAGTGTGGAACTGAGCTGACACCTGATGAAGTACAAGTGAATTTGAGAAATTATAAGGCTGGGACCAGGGACAAAAGAGACTAGCAAATACAAGGATGCGGAGCAGAAGCTGTGCTGTGCTCAGGAGGCTTCAGGGAGCACGTGCTGGCTGAAATCGAGGTGTCTAGGGGAGAGAGAGAGGCCTGAAGCTAGCAAGGAGCAGGGGTCAGATGAAGGGTCTCCCATGCTACAGAATGGTATTCTGTAGGGAATGAGGAACTACTTAATTATTATGAGAAAGAAAGACATGTTCCTGTCACCATGCTGAAAGGCTGCTCCAGTGGCAATAAAGGTGGATATTAAGAGATGAGACTTGTGGCAGGAGGCTGTTTCCACAGCCCAGAAAGACAGAGTGAATTCTGGAACTAGGGCAGTGTCACCCAGGAGGCGGAAACCACAGTGCTTCTGACTGGATGCACAGGGTGTAGAATACAGACACTCAATGTGTGGGCTCTTTTCTCCCACAGGAGAAGACAACGAGTAACGGGATGACGGGGAGTTGAGGAATTTTTGGTTGGGATCCAGATGTTAAAATGCACAAATTCCAGGGCAGGCTGCCTGGTTTCCAGACCTGGCTCTACTGTTTCCTAACTTAAAGAAGACATATGAACTCCCTGTGCCTCAGTTACCTCATCTGTGAAATGGTAAAATGGTGTTGTTGTTGTTAGGTGCCGTCGAGTTGATTCTGACTCATAGCGACCCTACAGGACAGAGTAGAACTGCCTCACAGCGTTTCCAAGGAGTGGGTGGTGGATTTGAACTGCTAACCTTTTGGTTAGCAGTTGAGCTCTTAACCACTATACCACCAGGGCTCCAATTATCTGTAAAATGGGAATGATAATAACAGTACTTATCTTATAGGGCTATTAAGAATTAAATGAGTTCACACTTATAAAGCATATAAAACAGTGCCTAGAATACAGTAAGTACCACATAAGTGTTTGTAAGTAAGTTTAAGATGGAACGCAATTCAAAATAAAGGGATTGACCAGATAGAGGGAAAAAGTGAAGATATGAGAAAAAAAGGACATTGAATTTAGGACAAGATCCAGAGAGGGGAGAAGAGGTAGAAAAGGATGAATCAATCAGTCTAGGACAAAAGCCAGATGGTGCTCTCTGAGCCCAGAAAAAGGAGACAGGTTGGCTGAGGCTGTGCAAGCAGGCAGGCTGGAAGACTAGGGGATCCAAGGGATTGCCCAGGGAGGAAGGCCATCTGATAATGACTGAGATGGAGGAGGAGGAAGGCGGATGGGGTTGATGGAAGTGGCTAAGGTTTGGAATGGTCCCTGAGAGGAATGAAAGAGCTGAAATTGTACAAGAGTCCAGCTGAAACTGGATACTATAAACCTGTAGCAGCACCAATCTGTAGCTCTGTGATTTCTCCAACTGGGCGCAGCGAATAAAGACATTTATTTGGACTGATTAAGAGTTGGAGATTTACAGGGAAATGGTGAGAAATGTGGAGCCCTGGTGGCACAGTGATTAAGAGCTTGGCTGCTAACCAAAAGGTCGGCAGTTCAAATCCACGAGCCTCTCCTTGGACACCCCATGGGGCAGCTCTACTCTGTCCTATAGGGTCGCTACAAGTTGGAATCGACTTGACAGCAAAGGAGTTTTTTTGGAGATGAATGTATAGTAGAACAAAAGAGATGGAGATGTGAATAAGAAGACGGAGTTGAAGTGATGCAAAGGGGGTCTGGGCTGGATGGGGGAGAAAGGACATAGGTTAGGAATCAAGTTACTTCACACAGCGGTGGGAGCAGGGAGTAAGAAAGCGAAGAGCTAAGACAGAAGTTGCCCAGAAGGTGGGGTACTGACTTTATGACTGAGAGGTGGAAAAGTATGATGATAAAGCCCAGGGGTGGCTAGAAATGTAGTTGTTGAAAAAGAGTGGAAGCAAAGGTTGGGAATTAAGCAAGTCAAGAAAGGTATTATGTCAGATGGATATACGGAAGGAATTTTTTCATAATGTATCTTGTGCAGAAATAATTCCTGTCATTTTTATTTTATAAGTTGGAAATGTAAATTTCATTTAAATACAAGACAAATATCAAAATTAAAAAAAATATTCTGAATGGTAGGGGAAGAAAAGCCAATAACTCTTCAAATACTCACTATAAAGCGATGCAGGCCATAGTATAACAGGATATCTGCTAAAGTAAAGTGATAGCCTGTAAGGTAGACTTTATCTTCAAGATATAAATTAAGATCCTAGAAAAAAACAGATTAATAAAATATTAATTTAAAAAAAAGGAGTAGTAAAGTTAACTATCGTGTTTGAATGACTTAAAACATTTAGAAAGCTATTAAAAAACAAAATACTGATGTTTATTAAAAGTGATATTTGACATTAATAAAGGTTTGTTCAAAATTACAGACCATATGCCAATCACTTCATTTAAAATATTTTAATTACTTATGTTTAATAGCATTTTAAGTCTTCTTTTATTCTAAAGAAATACAACATCAGAAAATGATAATCAAAGTGTCATCTATGACAATTTCAAATACTCCAGTTCTAAATACCATTTAAAGCTATAAAAAAGCTGTCATTTATTCTTCAATGATTATCAGTTTTTAAAAGATTATTTTAATTTAAGCGTATTAAAATAAAAAGCTCTTTTTAAATCATTAAAAATAAGATAATAGTAAGCACTAAGTTCCTTAAGTAGCCAACAGGTACTTCAGATGAAAATTTTTTTCAAAGTACATGTTAAAAAAATAAAATTAAATATGAAATTAAAGAATCTTAAAAAGTCCTAATCAAACTAGAAGTAATATCTGACAGATCAGCACGAATAAGTCAATTAGATTCTTGGAAGAAAAAATTTAGATAAAAACATTGTGTGAATACTCTTGGCTTCTCCCAAAATTAACATGTGATTTAACAGAACAGGAATATATGTTAAATTACATTCAAATTAAATGGACAACAGATTCATATAACCTTTAAGAAAGAACACTTTATGAAGCTCATACAATAGGTTCCATGGACTATTCTATTATTATCTAAAGACTAGTTATGAAACATTGCCCAATGGTCAACAGCATTTATTCCGGAATTCGCTGAAGTACAGAGAAAGCATTTTGTTTTGATTCTCAACTCACATCCCAAAGTGCTGGTGCACAGTGGTTCAGCGTCCAGGAAATGCTTGCTGAATTGAATTTAACCTCTTAAGTTTGTCCAAGTCTTCAGTTAAAGACAGTAATTTCCAAAAAGGTATATGAAGGTGGGACTGCTAGGAATGGTACAGATGAGGACATAAACGAACGAGGACAAAAATGAAGAGAGAGTACCAGAAGAATCAGAATAAAATTTGGGTGGGAGAGTAGCATATGCTGGTATTTCAGGGACCACCACTTAAACTCTATGGCAATCTATTAGAGATTTCTCTCCCATGTCTTCAAAAGAATCAACTTCGATTAAGTATAAAAAAGAAATACATTATCATTGAATTTTAAAATGCACTGAAAAAAGGTCTGAAACAATTTATCACTGCTTTCTATAGTGTGTATATTCTAGAAATAGAATCTACATCTAAGTGTTAGTTATTAATATTCTTCAGGGAACAACAAATGTAATTTTTTTATTAGCTATGATTAGGTAACATTTTCCTGATTAGTGATAGAAATCAAAATTTTCGTACGAAATGACAAGATTTCACATATTCAAAATATTCACAGAACAAAACTAATGTCTGACATTCATTTCCTTCTTTTTTTATAAGCCTTTTTGATGCTGTTGCCAACCCTTTAAAATACTTTCCTCCTATAGAGTTCTACCTAATTTCTTTTCCTCAACTATTTATTAAACTTACTAATAATAATTATAAGTTGGAAAACAGTGCAATAAACAACTATATACCCTTCACCTAAGGTTACCGTCATCTGAGGTAAGTGCTTTGCATTGTCTGCTTTTAAAAATTACACGATCTTAATTAGAAGGCACTCAAACTTACAATAGTGGTTTTAATACAGAAATGGAACTTCAGTAAGAATTAAACCCTTTCACAATATCCAAATAGCAAAATAGTGTTAAAAATAAACAACAAAAAGATAAAGAGCTCAGTATGAAAACGGGTAAAGAATATATATATGTACATATATACACACACACATTGTAAAAACGAAAATGGCTAATAAGCATTATGAAAAAAGTCACACCATTAATAATCTTAGTAAAAACACAAATGAACAAGGAAATCTTTTTTGGTTTATTTTCAATAGTAATAATATTGGGGTAGTTAAGGAGAAAATGGGCAATACCACCCATGCTGGCGAGGGTTTTATGGGAAAGGGCACTCTCATACACTGTATATGCTCATACACAATATACTTTTCTGGAGGGTAAATGAGCAACCCGGTTTTATAAATGTGTACAGCCATCTCTCTTGTGGGAATTTAGCTTAAGGAAACCAATGAGAATGTGTTCAATCTAATAATGACATGAGGGCAGGCAATTTAAATTGTGGTACAACTATATGATGGAATACTAACAAATAAAAACAAAAACCAGCTACCGCTGAATCGATTCTGATTCATGGTGACCCTGTGCTGCAGACTAGAACTAGAGTTTTCAAGGATGTGACTTTCTGGAAGCAGATTGCCAGGCCTTTCTTCCAAGGCACCTCTGGGTGGGTTCGAATCACCAAGCTTTTGGTTAACAGTCAAGTGTTTAACCATCTGCGCCACCCAGGGACTCCTGGAATACTAACAGGTTATCAAACACGATAGTGTGAGTGAATACTTATTGATGTGAAAAGATGTTCACAACATATTATCAGGGAAAAAAAACTTGACCAAGCTCTCAACTACCAGCTGAAATGTTGACGGTTTGAACTCACCCATAGACAGGCCTGGAGATCTGTTTCTGGAAGGTCATAGCCTAGAAAACCCTATGGACCACAGTCCTACACGGCACGCATGACATTGCCATGAGTCAGAATCGACTCAACGCCAACCAACAACAGAGAAATTCCTATAATAAATATTTTGCCTTTAACAAAACAGAAAACAACACTTTTCTCATCTGTGCTCATATGGCCCCAAACCACACCATATGTACACACTTGCCTCCTGCACTAGTCCGAGCTCTGCAAGGGCAGGGCTGTGTCCAGCATGTCTACTGCTGGTGCTCAGGCTATAGGTGCAAATGAGCAAACTGCAGCAGAGGAGGGACGACAACCAAATCACCTGGCCCCACATCGCTTACATTTCGAAAATGGTAACAGTATATCCAGTCAGATTCTCCTTGCATATCCCAGACAGATCACTATGGTGGAATTATGTCTATGCTACTAATACCAGATGTATGAATACAACTTTAGAACCTATAAACCCAATTTCAGTCAAACCCTATTCTTGCCTATCACAATTATGCTAAATACTTTGTTACTATCCTTTCCTTTGGAAATCTATAAAAGACAGTTACATTTACTTTGTATTTGCCTGAAATCTCACATTCACTTGGAGGATGGACATGCCTACCACCCTCAGGAAATATACCAGAGGGGCACGACCGGAGGGTCCCTGGGAGGGGTCCATTTGGATATTAAGAATGAATAGTTGACCATGATGGACCTATGAAGGAATAAGGCCTGAAATTTATTTTCTACAGTGTTCTCTTCATGGTATCTATCAAAAATATCATTTAAACCATTTTCCCCAAGGTGATAAATATTAAGATCTTCTTGCACAACTTACACTGCCACTCATATAATGACAGAAATAAATTTACAGACAGAAGGGATTCATGCCATTATACGTCACTGTCTAGATGATCTCTAAGGCTCCTTCTAAGTTTAAGTTTTTATAAAATAATAAAAATAATCTTTACTTTTATAGAAATAAACAAAGTGAACTCATTTGGAAATGTTTTTCATTCTTGGTGACTCTGGAACCATACTCAGTTTACATTTTATAGGAATAGATTCTTTAATTCTAATTTGACTTCTTTGGAAAGAAAACACAAATTTTAAAGCAATGAAGCAAAGAGTTTCAAGGATAGAGGGTGGCTTTATCAGATCACTCGAGAGTTTTTCTTTTTATTACTATTCTTTTTACTGTACTTTAGATGAAGGTTTACAGAACAAATAGTTTCTTATTAAACAGTACACATATTGTCTTATGACACTGGTTAAGAACCCCACAACATGTCAACACTCTCCCTTCTCGGCCTTGAGTTCCTTATTACCAGCTTTCCAGTCCCCTCTTCCCTTCTAGTCCTTGTCCCCGGGCTGTTGTGCCCCATTAGTCTCGTTCTCTTTCATGGGCCTGTCTAATCTTTGGCTGAAGGGTGAACCTGAGGAGCTAAAAGGGTGTCCAGGGGCTATACTCTCAGGGTTTCTCCATTTGCTGTCAGGCCAGTAAGACTGGTCTTTTTTTGTGAGTTAGAATTTTGTTCTACATTTTTCTCCAGCTCTGCCTGGGACCCTCTATTGTGATCCCTGTCAGAGCAGTCAGTGGTGGTAGCCAGGCACCATCTAGTTGTACTGGACTCAGTCTGGTGGAGGCCGTGGTAGTTGCGGTCCACTAGTTCAAGAGTGTTTTTCAAACTCCAACCCCCAAAGATTCTGATTCCTCCTAGCTTTTGAAAAAGTACCTTATCCCTTAGGGAAGCAGGATGGCCTAGAGGGACAACAGATATTAAGTCATCGCATCAAATTAAAAAATCACGCCACAACAGCTACTATGAGTGTTATGAGAAGCCCTGGCAGTGGTGCAGCGGTTAAGCACTTGGTTGCTAACCAAAAGATCCGTGGTTCAAACCCACTAGCTGCCCATGGGAGAAGATGCAGCAGCCTGCTTCTGTAAAGATAACAGTCTTGGAAACTCTATGGGGCAGTTCAACTCTGTCCTATATGGTCACAGTGAGCTGGAACTGACTCGGCAGCAACAGGCTTTGGTTTATGAGCGTTATGAAGGAAAAGTGTGGGGTGCTGTGACAGCCTGTAGAACTGTGAGCCTCACCTGGTTTGGGGAGGTTGTCAGGGGAGTTTCTGAGGCAGGTGCATCTGAGCTGGATGGGAAGGAAGTTCTCAAGGAGGCGGTGGGTCAGAGGGAGGTGGAAGTGTGTTCCAAAGGAGCCCTGTAATAACAAGTGCAACCTACCCTGAGACAGAAGGGATTAGGTGAAGAAGGTGAAGGTAGCTCCAGCACGACGAGGGGAGGGCCCTCAGCTAAAGAGAGGCAGGAGGGGGTGAGGGCAGGTGGGGCTTTGGCAGTTATTTGGGGATCTGGCCACCTTGGCTATAGAGTGTGCGTGCGTGCGTGCGTGCATGCATGTGTGCGCGCGTGCAACAGTGATGAGGGGAGACTTGTTAGCATAAAACAAAAGAGAGAAACAGTTTTATTTTCCAATCTGCTCCTTTTTTGCAGAACACAATGCACTGTTTGACAGGAAACATCAATGTTATTGCAGAATAAGTGATGGCAGTGCCTCTGAGACACAGTGACACATCGTCACCAAGAACTGACAAAACAGTTTTGACAACTGGTATTTTTTTAAGAGAAATATAAAAAGGTGGGATCCTTTAAAGAGAAGCAAAAACGACAGAATTCTAAGACCTTTCTCATTTATCAGTGTAGGAGGAACTTTTGTTCATTCTAAAAATGTCACCACTGAACTATACGACATGTGTGCTTCCTCTTTGTAACAGAGATCAATTAACAAGCTGTTGTTGTTGTTAGGTGCCACTGAGTCAGTTTTCGACTCATAGCGACCCCATGTGACAGAGTAGAGCTGCACCATAGGGTTTTCTAGGCTGTGATCTTTCTGGGAACAGATCTCTAGGCCTTTCTTCCACGGAGCCAGTGGGTGGATCTGAAACCACCAACCTTTCAGTCAGTAGCTCAGTGCTTAACCGTCGTACCACCGGGGCTCCTAACAAGCTTTTAGTCGGAATCAAGTACGTGGCAAACACTAGGCCATATAGTTTCATCAAGTCTCACACTTGACCAAGGGCATTTCTGTCCTAACCAACTGGTTAGGATGTGAGATGCCAATCATATATACAGCACTTAATAGCAATAATGGCCAGGCCAACACTTATATGTACTTACTGTTCTAAGTTATTTTATATAATGATTTAATTCTCACATTTAATCCTACCTGTGAGGTTGGTCCTATTATAATCCTTACTTAACATAAGGAAACAGAGGCACAGAGAGGTTTAGCAACTTTCCTGAGGTCACTTATCTAGCAGGCCGTGGGGCTGGGATTCAAACATAGGCAATCAGAGCCACAAGCTATTCCTAGTCAGTATATGGGACTGATACATATAAAGAGTTAAAAGAAAAAAAAAGCTCTATTTTGAAAGGATGTGCCTTAAACTGTTAACTATGGTTATCCAGGAGCCCCGTTGGCGCAGTGGTTAAGAGTTACAGCTGCTAATCAAAAGGTCAGCAGTTTGAATCCACCAGCTATTCCTTGAAAACTCTATGGGACAATTCTACTCTATCCCTCAGGGTTGCTATGAGTTGGAATCGACTCAATGACAATGGGTTTGGTTTAGTTTTTGGTACAGCTATCTTAAGAATGACGGTCTTTTTTTTTTAAAGGGAGGAATGACTCGTTTTCCTTAAGTCTGTATTGTGTTAATGTCTTACTACGAGCATATATTCACACATAAAACCAAATGCCAAACCCATTGTTGTCGAGTTGATTCTGACTCATAGCGACCCTACAGGACAGAGTAGAACTGCCCCATAGAATTTCCAAGGAGCACCTGGTGGATTTGAACTGCCAACCTTTTGGTTAGCAGCCACAGCACTTAACTACTACACCACCAGGGTTTCCATATTCACACATATAAATTCTAAAATACAAAGTTTAGAAAACAAACTTAGCACCTGTATCAACGTCAGGGCATGCACCTTGGATTCAAAGAGTGCTTGCTCTGCCCTACGGAGAAGTAGCTATAAAGCTAACAACAAACCAGGAAAATAGAAAATAGTAAAGTGACATGAATCGTAAGGAAAAACAGGTGTGTTTGAAGAGATGATAAAACAAGTGATAAAAAACAGTGTAAACAGGAAACCCCTTGTCTCTTTTTCAAAGTACTTGCGTCGAACAGAATTATTGTACTTAAATCTTTTTATTACGCTTAACAAATTGAATCGCATCATTACTTTACATAAACTGTGGGAATACGGTTCACAGATTTTGTTGTGACAAAAAATGGAAGCACAGGTTATTAGCATATAGGATTATCTAGCCATTCTCACCGTCGAAGTGAATCACAGGTAAAGACAAAGTCTAAGAGAGCTTCCTGCTTAGCAGTTCATGCATTTCAGCCCCTAAAGAGGAGTCACAATACCTTCAACAGAGTGCGGACGTCGTCTTTACTGGCGTGCCCATCTACTTGAGTTACCCTGTATTCTAACCATTGCTGAACGACCGCTTTTTCTTCGGGAGTGCTCCCAAGCAAATATTCTTTGTTGGCTTGCTTGACTAGATGAGCTGCTATTGTAGTCAATCCCGTCAGACTTGGACCATTGTTTGTTTGAAGAACTGGAATCTTAAAAAGAAAAAAAAGTCCTTCAGATCCATTTCAAAAACAAATACCCTTATGACTGTAAGTTCTCAATAATGACTAAATTTCTCAACTGTTTTTTAAATACTCTAGGATTTTACTTTAAAGTACCAAATTACATACAAATCTAAGTCAGGAAAACTAATAGTTATAGAATTTACAATTTGCTGATAGATGCTTGATGATGGAACTGGTAATGACATTGCAAAAATCAACAAACTAATGTTTCTACACAAATGATACACCATAAGACTGTTATTTATAACTGTATATATACAAGAAGATAAAATGAAAATCCTAATAATACTACATTAACTTCAGTCAAAATTAAACCCACTGCCATCGAGGCGATTCCGACTCCTGGTGACCCCATGTGTTACAGAGCAGAACTGCTCCATACGGTTTCCTTGGCTGTAATCTTTCCCGAAGCAGTTTACAAAGCCTTTCTTCCGCAGAGCCACTGGATGGGTTCAAACGGCCAACTTTAGGTTAGCAGCCACTCACAAACTGCCTGCGTTACCAGGCTCCTTCAGTCAAGATTTCTCACACCCTAATTCTGCAAGGTGAACATGTTTAAATAATTCTGACTTCCGTTAAGAGCAAAAATAAGAAACAATTATGGTAACACTGACTTCATGTTGACATAGTAAGAACCACCAAATGAAATCTAGGCTAGTTTTAGTGCTATGTGATCCAATGTAACTAGCTCTCTCTTTAACTAGGCTAATAATTGTGATGGTGACTTGGTTGCCATGAACTGCATACCCATTAATTTTGGAGGTTTTTGGAGTAAGGTTACTGTCAGCTAACATTTCATATTAAAAAAAAAAAAAATTCCAAAATATAATTGAGGCAACTGATAATCAAGTCTGGACTTGAGGCAACCACCTGAAAAATAATCCTGCCTTTTATATTTCCCCTGGTACAAAAGTAATACAAAAGGTCAGATTTACTTGCTTATAAGAAATTGCCAGTCAATAATTTAAACTTTCTTTATGTAAAACTACGTGAAGCATTATGAGAAATGTAAAGGAAAATGGAAGATGGCCCAGGCACAAATAACAGGTCAGCAACCGCCATTTACTAGCTGAGCCAACCAAAAAGGAGCATTCACTTGGGAAGACTGCTGTGTTTCTCAGCCGCAACGTACCATCTTGTACAGTGATTTATACTTTGCTGGGCAGGTTCACACTCATAACATCTACTTCAACAGAGTCTGTGAAGTACCCAGAAAAATTAACATTTATGAATACAGACTCCAAGGGTACCTCCTAAAAACTAAAGGAGGTAGCCTCTCTCCACTTTTCACTTCTTCACCTATTTCCCATTCACTATATAGCCTGTACTATCACGAGTTGGAATCAACAAAACGGCAGCTAACAACAGTATCACTTTAGGAGTTCCTGAGTGGAGCAGACAGTTAAGAGCTTGGCTACTAACCAAAAGGTTGGCAGCTCGAATCCACCCAAAGGTACCTCAGAAGAAAGGCCTGGCAATCTGCATCCAAAAGGTCACAGCCTTGAAAACGCTATGGAGCACAGTTCTACTCTGAAACACATGGGGGTCCCCTTAGTCACAATGGACTTGACGACAACTGTATTTTTCTTTTTAATTCCCACTATTGCCTTCACACTCAAATGAAACCACTGCCTCTAAGATTATCAATAATTTCCTTTAAAAATGTATTAAAACAGTACGGAACCCTCTGGGGGTGCTGGTTATATTATTCTATTCCTCGACTGAGTGGCTACACAGGTGTGTTCGCGTTGTGGTAACTCATTGAGCTGTACACTTATATTTGTGCACTTTCTGGATGTATATGGCAATTCAAAAAAAAGGGAAATAATTTCACAATTGCTGAGCGGAGTGTGAGTGGAAAAGATAATTAACTCTAAGAAAATGATTTGTAAATTATTACTATAAATTATCCACAATCCAACTCAAAAATCCACAATAATCTTCTCACCTAATTCTTACAACATTCTCTAAGATAGGTAAGAAATCTCATCTTCATTTTACAGATAAAGAACCAAAGCCAGGGTCTGAATAAAGCACTATTTTGCTCAAAAGCCCATTCCTTTTGCTTTATACAGCCTAAAGTATACAAATCTTATGCGGTTGCAATCATGGGAAACCTACTATTTTTACATTCATCTTATGGTTCCATGGAAACCCTCGTGGCGTAGTGGTTAAGAGTTCGGCTGCTAACCAAAAGGTCGGTAGCTCGAATCCACCAGATGCTCCTTGGAAACCCTGTGGGGCACTTCTACTCTGTCCTATAGGGTCGCTATGAGTCAGAATTGACTCGATGGCAACGGGGTTTATGGTTCCATGGTCCTCAAAGTTAGCACCTTTAATGGCTGCATAAATAATATTCCAATGTGTCGATGCGCCATAATTTAACAAACCATTCTCCGAGAGCTGGATCTCTGGATTGATCATTTTAAAAAAAATTATTACTAATTATGTTGCAGAGAGCGTCCTATTGCTGGCTTACTACTTACTCTCAGGCGCCTTCCAAAAAATGGTTGAATATTATTACATATCCCCACCCCTTCCCCCAAACATATAAACAGAGACTACAGCTGCCCATTGCAAAAAGAAAAAAGAAAGGACGAGAAAAACAAACCAAAAAAAAAAACACACATTCTGAACTCCAAGGCCTTTAAAACTAATTTTGGGTTTACCTTGCACTATCTCACTCCTGGAGCCCTGGTGGCGCAGTGGTTAAGAGCTTAGCTGCTAACCAAAAGGTAGGCAGTTCAAATCCGCCAGCCACTCCTTGGAAACCCTATGGGTCAGTTCTACCCTGTCCTATTGGGTTGCTATGAGTCAGAATGGACTGGACAGCTACGAGTTTTGTTTTATTTTGGTCTCACTCCTAACACTGGTCTACTTACTCATTGCCTCAAACTTATTTTGTAACTTTCTGGTCTTACACATCTTTCAAAGCCGGATCCCTTAAACACCACCTCTTCCGTGAAGCTTATAAACTCATTCTTAGAATTAACTTCCTCCTTCACACTCCTTGAGATTGTCTTTCTCCATTATAGTATAGATTCTGTCCTGTTTTGTATTCAGTGCCCATATGACTGTTTCTCATGGTAGATAATAAGCTCCTGAAGACAAGACTCACATCCTGGCAATGTTCCCTAAAAAATATAAGCCCAACTACTGAATAGTAGTTGAAAGGGAACGATTCAGCCTGGGGACAGAGCAAAAAAAGCAAAAAGCAGGTCACTTAGTTTCCATTGCCTACTCTGCCCCCTGATCTTGGGCAAGTCGCTTAATCTGCCTAGGCTTCAGTTTACTATTTGTAAAAACTACAGTACTTCTACGTTTGAGACAAGATTTTAACACAGACCAAATGAAAGAACAGAAGAAGTATGGACAACAAAATAAACGTCGTTTGGCAAAAAATTTCAAAGGAGCAAAAATATATACATATAAAAAATTGTCTTCCTATATCCATTCTCCTCCTCTAACACATTCTCTCCACGGCAACAGAGAATTTTATAGAACTCAAATGTTCTTCAATGCCCCTGACAAATGCAGCTCCTTTTATGTCACCAGTCAATTCTCCTCCTATATAACTTCCTCCCTCATTCTCTGCATGTCATGCACTAAACTTGGTATCAGAAGCTTCAAAAACTCCTTCCCTCAATCCCCCAGATTGAGCCATGACCCACTGAAGGTTCTTCCAACAGTTTATACTTTAATGTAGCGCGTTTCCCTATCGTAATTTTCGTGACCGCACGGTTGGTCCGCTCCACTGGAAAGCAAGCTCCTTGAGAGTAGGGAAAGAGCCGTGGTGGAGCAAAGGTTAAAGCGCTCGGCTGCTAACCGAAAGGTCGGCAGTTGAACGCAAGAGCTGCTCTGCGGCAGAAAGACGCGGCAGTTAGCTTCCATAAAGATTACGCCTAGGAAACCCTATGGTGCAATTCTACTCAGTCCTTACAGGGTCGCTATATGAGTCGGAATCGACCCGATGGCAGTGGGTTTGGTTTGAAGGTAGGGAGAAGTGTCTGCCTTGTCACCGCCGTATTCCCCGTGCTCAGCGCAGCACTGCTAGCACCGGGTAAGTTCTCATACAGCAATTGCATCAGAACAGAACGAAAGATATCGTTATAGTAAGTGCTGTCACTGGCCACAAACGCGGGGTCTCCAGGCGGGTATATCTAAGGGATCTTTGGAGGCTCTTCCATAACTGGTTTCCCTTTCCCGCAAAAGTTCAGGCCGAGCCTCGACTGGCGTAGGTCTCCCCCATCCTCCCTCCAGAGCTACGGCAGCGGAAGGTGAGGCCGAGAAGCTGAGGCCGAGAAGCGGCCTGCCCGCACAGACACGTGGGGAGCTGCAGGCGCAGCACCGGAGCCACGTCCTTGCCGCGCCTCGTCAAGTCCCGCCCGGGATCAGCGAGACCCGCTTTCCTTCCGCGCCACCCCTGCTTCTCACCTGGCGCTCGCCCTGGGCACTGTATTTATTTCCTTTACTCAGCCCCAGGGACTTCTCAAGCAGCAACAACTCTGCAGCCGCCGCCATCTTCCGGCGCGAGCTCCCGACAGGAGCGGGGCCCGGATAACAAGGACTCCGCCGCTGGCGGAGAGGGAAGCCCCACCCACGCGAACGTCCCCGGCCATTGGCTAAGCGGAGGGGGCATGAAACGCGTGCCTGCGCTCAGGAGGCGGGGCCAAAAGAAGGGGCGGGGCCGAGGGACGGGAGTGACACTGGTGGGTAGGAGATGGCTAACGTCAAGGCTGGGAGCGCTTGGGGCTCTTGAGGAAATACAGGCAGGAAACTGAATCTGCCATCTTTTAAACGGCAGGCCTTTGGAAGTACTAAAAGACTTTATACCTAATGGGACTTAAAATTTTTTCTTAGGTTCACTCAGAAATCTGAATTTGAACAATCGAATTGAATGCAAAGAGATCACAATCTAATGGAGTTTCTAACATATAACGTTATTTGTGGGGATTTAATTAGTATAATGTAATGGTGAATGGAAAAAAAACTTGTTTAATGTCAATATAAAGCTCAATAGAAGCAGGAGAATTATAAATTTAAAAAGTATAATTCATAGAGCACTGGGTTTATTAGATAGCAGTCAGGTAATTACTACAGCCCAAGTATATCAACCATTAATGGTTTTAATGATTTTTATTTCAATACCAGAAAGTAGTTGTATGATTTAAGTAGCTAGAAGAGATACAACTAGAATGCTCCTTAGAGGTTACGATGTTGAGACTTCTGCTCACCTACTTTGGACCCTCATCAGGGAAGACCAAGCGCTAGAAAAGGACAACCTTCAATGAGATGGATTGATACTCAAACATGCCAATGGTACAGGACCAGGCAACATTTTGTTCTGTTATACATAAGGTGGCCATGAGTTGGAGCTGACTTGACAACAAATTAACAACAACGAGTATATAAATAAACAATGCACATAATATTTTAATTTAAAAAGATGTTAACATAACTATTTCTAAGTTGCTATATCTTCATCTTCAAAGTAGAAAATGTATCACATATGTTGAGGCCTTGAATCTTTCCAAAAGATTTCTGAAAATAAAAGATATTTTCCACATTGAAGAATGAATAAACAAAATGTGTATTAGTCTGAGAGAAATAGAAGAGAAATGCTATGAGGTAGTTCATCACTGAATCACAAATATTGACATTTAACGGGGAATACTGTCACTATATGACACCCTCCCTATCCCAACGTACTCAATGAGTTAACTGGGCAGCAGAAGTAATCTTAAGGAAAAGAAATTAGGCCAAATCAACACAATTGAAGTACAAAGGAAATTCCAATATAAACGGATTTTGGGCATGAATTATCTGTTTCACTTTCCACTATACAGAAAATTGAATGAGTATTTCATTACCTCTAAAAAGGCCAGCCTTCTGAGAGAATTCACGTATCTATTTTCAGTGTTCAGGAACACTTTTTGCTCGTATTTAATTTTATTTTTAATTTCACATTTATCTAATTCCAATTTGTGGTGTATTTTAATTGAAGTTTGACCTAAATCGTAGAGCTGAGATTTGAGTTCACATACAAAATACCTGAGAGGATATTCACCCAAATGATAAAAATTCTAACTTTTGGGGAGTGAAATTGAGGTAAATGGGTAGAATATCACTTTTTAATTCGTGCATTTTTATTTGAATTTTTTCAGATACCTTTTGTAATTAAAAAGAAAGTTTGTTTGCTTTTTAAATGTAGTCATAAGTTTTTTTTCTTCCATTTGAGTCCTGAAAATTTCTAGCCTAAGTTTCTTTTTCTTCCCTGGGATTCTCTCTTTCATTGTGGATGTGCATCGATGACTGGAGAAGAAAATCAGTTGACCGTTGCAGTGCTTCTGACATGAAAAGTAAAGGAGGTGGTGTCACAAAAAAGACACAAATTTAAACTTGATTTCTAGAGCCAGGGGTTCTAGTCTCTACTCAGCACTAACCAGTTGTGTGACAGTAAGCAAGGCTGCACTGGGCCTCAGTTTCCCCAAGTACACCACAGTGGACTTGGGTTACATATTCTCTCTGGTCCCTTTGGTATTGATATTCTATCCTTCTATATACTTTTTTTTTTTCCTTAAAGTGCACATGCATTTTTGTACGACTAAAGGGCTGATTGGAAGGATGAAGGAATAGAGAGCCTTTTGTTGGGCCAGCTGCTGTGTATAAATGTAATGGCTTGCTTGTTTTGAACAGAATTTAGGGGTTGGGATGGAGAGAGGGACCAAGGGCTCCCTGTCATACTCTCTAGTCTTAATACCAACACATGAGAGAGACGATCAGAAGTGATTCATGTAGACATGACAACTTCATGGGCATGTCATCTGTGCAGTCACACAGGACCGTGGCTTGAAAGGGGCTTGCTGTTACCATCTTGGAGTCCTTGGGTGGCACAGATAGTTAAACGAAAGGTTGGCAGTTTGAACCCACTCAGAGGAAGAAAGGCCTGGTGATCTACTTCCAAAAGGTAGCAGCCATTGAAAACCTTATGGATCACAGTTCTACTCTGACACACACAGGGTCGCCATGAATTGTGTAAAAACAGCATAGGGGCAGTGTCTGACCTCCTCTAACTTCACAAGTGGGAAAGAGAATCAAGATCAACAGCCCAAGGCTGATTCGTTTGAGGCGGGGGTCAGACAAGCCTCCTGTCTCTGCCATCTTTACCAGTTCTGACACCCACCATCCCTCCCACAGCACTCTCTACTTCTCTGCTGGGTTCAGTAATTCATTGCAATGGCCACACAGAACCCACAGACCATACTCACGATTGTGGGGTTTATTATAAGGGAAGTAACAGTTATAATTCAGGCTTAGGAATACTTGGGATACAGTTCTTTCATCAGGACAGCTTCTTCCCAACCGCGCTCGCAGGCACACCTCTCCCTGGCCTTAGGCCTCTCCCCAAAGGCACTCAGCTTTCTCTCTCCATGGGCCGGGAAGCCCAGCGAGCCGTCTCCGGCTGCTGGCTCTCTGCTGCCACCACTTCTCAGCATCTTCAGGGTTACAGCTTACTCTTTCTCGGTCTCCTGCTTCCAGGAGCTTCTCAGCACATGGATCTCGGGTCCAAAGGACAGGCTGGCTCCTGGTTGTTCTTCCTTGGTGGTGGTGGGATTTTCCTTTCTGCTCTGGAATTGGCTGTCTTTAGGGCAAAACTGACCAATCCCCCTGGTAGGCCTCAATTACCCTATCACACAGTCCTGCCCAGTCACCTGGGTGGGAGTTACAAGGACATGGCAAGAAAGGCCACACACAAAAGTAATTAATCCACTGCAAATTGAAATTGTTGCCAACCACTTTGGTTTTTGGTGACCATCTTGAAATTCTTAAAACAATTTTTTTAGTTAGGTGCCTTGCATTTTTATTTTGCACTGGGCCTCAAAAACTATATAGCCAGTCCTGCATGTAAAGCTTCTTCTCTTTGCTGTCTGAGTATTACAGACTAAAAAGATTAAAAGTATTTGAGGCTTTGACAGTGTCCAGTTAAAGGGAATGGAACATATCTTTAATGAATATGGTTCTATATCAGAAACTTTAAACTGCGGTCGATGAATCACTTTTACATAGCCTTTCTGGCCATGGTCTTGCAACTCCCACTTAATGACTAGGTGGGACTATGCAAATAAGGCACCTGTGGCCCACCAAGTTGATTGGATAGCTTGTTAATAATGCAAATAAGGTGCACGGCACCCTTGTAGAGGTTATTAGCTGTTAGGTGGCATTGAGTTGGTTCTGACTTATAGTGACCCTGTGTACAACAGAACGAAACACTGCACAGTCCTGTGCCAGCCATCCTCACAATTACTGCTATGCTTGAGCCCATCATTGCAGCCTCTGTGTCAAGCTGTCTCATCGAGGGTCTTCCTCTTTTTCGCTGACCCTCTGCTTTACCAAGCATGATGTCCTTCTCCAGGGACTGGTTCCTCCTGATAATATGTCCAAAGTACGTGAGATGCAGTCTTGCCATCTTTGCTTCTAGGAAGTATTCTGGCTATACTTCTACCAAGATGGATTTGTTTGCTCTTCTGGCAGTCAATCTTCTTTGCCAATACCATAATTCAAAGGCATCAATTCTTCGGTCTTCCTTATTCATTGTCCAGTTTTTGCATGCCTATGAGGCAATTGAAAATAACGTGGCTTGGATCTGGTGCACCTTAGTCCTCAAAGTGACATCTTTGATTTTTAACACTTGATAAAGGTCTTGAACAGCAGATTTGCCCAATGCAATACGTCATTCAATTTCGTGGCTGCTGCTTCCATGGGCATTGATTGTGGATCCTAGTAAAATGAAATCCTTGACAGTTTAAATCTTTTCTCCATTTATTATGATGTTGCTTATTGGTCCAGTTGTGGGTATTCTTGTTTTCTGTATGTTGAGGTGTAATCCATACTGAAGGCTGTAGTCTTTGATCTTCATCAGTAAGTGCTTCACTTTCAGCAAGCAAGGTTGTATCGCCTGCATATGGCAAGTTGTGAATGAGTCTCCCTCCAATCCTGATGCCACATTCTTCTTCGTATAGTCCAGCTTCTGAGATTATTTGCTCAGCATACAGATTGAATAAGTATGGTGGAAGGATACAACCCTGAAGCACACCTTTCCTGACTTTAAACCATATGGTATCCCCTTGTTCTGTTCGAAGGACTACCTCTTGGTATATGTACAGGTTATTCATGGGCATAATTAAGTGTTCTAGAATTTCCATTTGTCATGGATTGAACTGTGTCCCCCCAAAATATGTATCAACTTGGCTAGGCCATGATTCCCAGTATTGTGTGACTGTCCACCATTTTGCCATCTAATGTGATTTTCCTATGAGTTGTAAATCCTACCTCTATGATGTTAATGAGGCGTGATTACAGGCAGTTATCTTAATAAGGGACAACTCAATCTACAAGATTAGGTTGTGTCTTAAGTCTATCTCTTGAGATATAAAAGAGAGAGGCAAGCGAGAGACAGGGGGACCTCATACCATCGAGAAAGCAGTGCTGGGAGCAGAGCATGTCCTTTGGACCAGAGGTTCCTGCGCTGAGAAGCTCCTAGACCAGGGGAAGATTGATAACTAGGACCTTCTCCCAGAATCGACAGAGAG